TTTGAATTACTTCCTATTGTATTGTTTTCTTGCTTTAAAATATGCTCGTGTTATTTTGAATTACTTCCTATTGTATTGTTTTCTTGCTTTAAAATATGCTCGTGTTATTTTGAATTACTTCCTATTGTATTGTTTTCTTTGCTTTAAAATATGCTCGTGTTATTTTGAATTACTTCCTATTGTATTGTTTTCTTGCTTTAAAATATGCTCGTGCTGTTTAGAAGTACTTCCTATTGTATTGTTTTCTTGCTTTAAAATATGCTCGTGTTATTTTGAATTACTTCGTATTGTATTGTTTCTTTGCTTTAAAATATGCTCGTGCTGTTTTGAATTACTTCCTATTGTATTGTTTTCTTGTTTTAAAATATGCTCGTGCTGTTTCGAAGTACTTCCTATTGTATTGTTTTCTTGCTTTAAAATATGCTCGTGCTGTTTAGAATTACTTCCCATTGTATTGTTTTCTTGATTTAAAATATGCTCGTGTTATTTTGAATTACTTCCCATTGTATTGTTTTCTTGGTTTAAAATATGCTCGTGTTATTTTGAATTACTTCCTATTGTTTTCTTGGTTTAAAAATATGCTCGTGTTATTTTGAATTACTTCCTATTGTATTGTTTTCTTGCTTTAAAATATGCTCGTGTTATTTTGAATTACTTCCCATTGTATTGTTTTCTTGCTTTAAAATATGCTCGTGCTGTTTTGAATTACTTCCTATTGTATTGTTTCTTTGCTATAAAATATGCTCGTGCTGTTTAGAATTACTTCCCATTGTATTGTTTTCTTGATTTAAAATATGCTCGTGCTATTTAGAATTACTTCCCATTGTTTTGTTTCCTTCTTTTAAAATATGGCCGATGTTTTTTTGTCATATTGACCTTGAAGAAATGAAATGTGTTTGTCTATATTAGATACAGCTGTTCTAAAAAAGAAGTATTTTCTAAACGATCTGCCTTCATTATATTGTAGTCAACTTCCTGCGTAGGTTAGTCTAGTTTGTATAATTAGGCTTAAGAAATTAATATGCAAGACACATCTGGTGGCATTTTGGTGATTCACCGCCTGTTTTGTTTTTGTCAGATACATTTCTTGCTGATAATAATTCAAAAAGTCACCTTTCAATTACTTATATTGTTATTTTTTTATATTCTTCAGCACTTGAGATAATAATATTTTTAAGATTTCAATTCTTTCGTAATTATCAGTAATTTGTTTTATTTCAGAAAGGGTAACTTTTGTTTACTAGTGTTAGAAGTACAGGCCTCTAGACTTTTCCATTGTTGTTTTTTCTCTCTTCAACATTACTTTTGTTGACTAGGCCCTCCAGAGATAATACATAGACTTATCGACCATCCATTCGTTCATTAGTGTTAGTCAATATAGCTAAGATCTGGTATAGCTACTGTTTCTAATGACAAAACAAAAAATATTGTGTATAAGAGAAAGCCTTACAAAACGCACTTCTACTCCGGAACGTTTGAGGAACGTCATTAAGTAATATTTCCTATATCACCCACCGAACTGGGCTAATTAGGGCTGCTATAACTCGAAACTACCACAGTTCACTTAAAAAAAAACTAATTGTGTAATTTTAGAATCCAACTTGGAATAAACCTATTTCTTAAACAATTTCCTGATTGGCTTAACCAATAGCTCAATTTAAAACGTATAAATGATGTTGAGTTAATGTTAGAATCCATCTCTGAAGAGGACTACTTGTTCAATAATTTCGTGATTGGTTTAATATTCAAAGAGATAGGGGTTATTTTTTATCGCGTAGTTGTTCTTCTTCTTTTTTAGCGCTAAGCTACACGAAGGGCTATCTGCGGGAGATTTTGAACTATTAAAGAAATGTCAGGTGAAGATCCTAAGAAAACGTTTCTTATTATGGATTTTTGTCTAAGAAAGTTATATTTATTGCTTTAGTTAGACACCGTCATTATTTGCGTTCTAACGTGTATGCATTATTCATAATTAAACTTCTCAATTCTGTGATTGGTCAACTTGCTCTCCTACAAACTCACCTTCAGTGTAAGCATTACAGCTCGTGGGACATGAATTATAAATTGAAACAAGACTCGTCAGACGTCAGTGTTTTAAACGTATTTCGAGGACGTTTCATAGAAAAATTCGAGTTCATAATTCCACAAACATTAGGGACCAGCGCTATTTGTTATAGGGACCAGCGCTGTTTAATAATTTTATTATATCAAAATAATTTTACCGTTCTAGTGTTATCATGAGGTTTTATTTTCGGTCATATAAGTGTAATTTATTGATATTAGAATCACGTATAAATATATATATATATGTATTTCTTTTTCTGTGTGTGTGTGTGCGCGCGCGCGCGCAAAGCAATTTCACAGTTACTAATGGGCCGTGCAGAAAAATAGCTGGCCTTAGTTTTATTGTGTTTTTTTAAAGGTTTGACGTCAACGCACGTCATATAATGCTCATCAT